GCGTTTCGCATCATTTCTCTTTCGTTCGTTAGGGCAACTTGAGACATCCGTGACATATCTTAAATTTTTCCAGATCCTCCTACCATCGCGGGCCGCAAGGCATGATTGTGCATAAGGTGGGGCTCAAGAGCATGTTTTACCTAGAAGTTACTGTAATCTCTCCATTCTAGTATTGAATCTTGAACCTTTCAGATAGTAATCCTCGCATGGCTGGTGGGACTTGTCTCAGCCGGTGGAGGAGGCGGTTACGCGGGTGGCGCCGCTGTTGGTCCCTACGGTGGACCGGGTAGTGCGGCCGTAGCGGCCGACTTCAATCCAATCCTTTTGCAAGGAGTCCGAGGTTATCCTGGAATACGAGCTCGAATCAATCAACGAGCGTTCCAGTACGCCAGCGGAATGATCGGCAATGTGCTAAATCAAGAGATCAAAAAAGCTAGAATACCACCGATTACACAGTGCATTCCGCAGGTATAGCAATGTTGAAGCAATGTTCTACCTTATATTGACACTACCTTGAATCAAATCACCCGAATTCCAACTTTCTGATGCATTACGCCTTCATTTTTGCTAATTTCAACTTTTTCTGAATGCACAACGTACCCCTTTCAGGTCAACGGATGTGTCCAAATCTACAATCTATACGTTTCACGGTACCGTTGCCCTCAACGAGTTGTCATGTACCCAGCACCACCAAACAGACTTGTCCTGCAAGTTCAAAACTTGGACATTGGGTAAATATCACTGTTTACTATTGGCATTACTGTATTTCCATTTCCATTTCTAATTTTTTTTACTATTTTTCTGTGACTGAAATATAAACATGTATTGACTATTCAGAATTACTGGTAATCTTGGTGGTCAAATCGTTATCCTCTTACCCATAGCACTTACTGGAATCGTACAAGCCAATATTCATCAGGTGAGAGGAATTTATCGCTCGCTGCGCAGCATTCTTGAGTTCTGGTAGATGTTTCACTCACTTCAAGAGCTAATCATTTCGGATCCGCCAAAGACACACAAAATATTCAGTCCTTCCTAAAAATTTGAAAAATCAATATTAGGTCGTTCAAAAAGTTCTGTCAATCTTTCTTATGAATGATAAACCAATTGCGCACACGAGGAGCTGATTTGGAATGTGATGTGTTCCTGATATGGGAGGGTGTCAGATATCTCCTCGGCATGAAAAAAATAATCATGAAACAGAGAAAAATACTACAAGAAAAGTAATTTTTGCTCTGATGACCTCGAAAGGCACATTAGTCAGATAACAGAATCTCAGTACTTGCAAATGGTTGGTTGATTGACTGGCTTTGGTTCAGAATCGTGATATGTCCTCGTATATGTCAGATCTAGTGACATCCCACTATTTACTTGCTCCACACCACTCCAAGCAAGAAACACCTCCTTGAACTTAGCAATCAAAAGATCGAGGTCCTCTGTTTCGGAATGCAGAAGCGCTCTTCCCTGAAAAAACATCCATGACATATCCAATCAGTAGTCTAAAATTGTCAGTACGCATGACCAAGATATCTTGACAACTACCTTTGATAAAAATATAGATAAGTCAAATTGGCTCAACCGGCGGTATTTTTGAACCACCTAAGATATTTGCTTACTTTGGAAATCTTTACTATTTCAGGCATCTATAACCGTCGAGTTAACAGTCGAACGAGGACCACATGGTCCATATCTACGACTTGTGAATTGTAATGTACAAGTTGGCTA